ATTGACGCGTGAACTAGGTGATCGAGTTGCTGAGGAAGTCCCCAGTAAGGGACGAAACGTTCAACAAGATCAAATAAATTTGTTCATCAAAATTTATTAACTGTCTTCAATTTTCCCTTTGAAACTCATATATATTAAGGAAGATTATTTTTAAATTACTATTATTAATTTATATCTTTAGTAAATAAAAAAACATTTGTTTAGCCTTAGGTGAAGGAGAATGTACACTTCCACCAGGCCATTCAGTCAATCCATTAAAATTACAAGACTCTGTTAGTTTTGAAGACCTGGATTTAATTTTCCCAACACCATCTACGTCGCCTCCTATTTTGTATAATCATACTAATCATATAAGAATGAAACGAGATACAGAAAAAGTTGTTAATACTCGAACAATTATTGACAAAGATGGGCAAAAACATTATATTGTTTCAATGGTAGGTTAATGAAACATTAATAAAATATTAATTTAAACAGTAGTTAACTATAATATATATCATTTTAAATTACATTTATTTTATAGAATTGTAAAGCAGGAACGGCTAAATGTTTTGATATAACATGTATCATATACAACTTGCAACGAAAACAAGAAGCAATTATAACCGTCAAAGCAAGGTAAATTGTCATATAGTATAATAAATACCATACTTTTATATGAGGGAGATATAAGAGTAACCTTTGATAACAATTATATTAAAATTTTAATAGACTTTGGAATTCAACATTGGTGGAAGATTATCCGAAAGTAGACATGGTGAAAATAGGTTCCAATGCAAGAATAATTATACCTCCTAATGTTGTGATACAACAAGAAAATTTAAAGGATGATCATGCAATTGTAAGTATATTTTATTACTATGAACATTCATTATTTTCATTTTTAATTAACAAATATTATCTATTTGTATTTAACAGGCTGAAACAATTGCATATCCAGATCCTTTAGACCAACAAGATGTAGAGCCTGTTCCTATTTGGATAATCATAGTAGCAGTAGTTGCAGGTTTACTATTATTCATTTTACTTACACTAGTACTTCGAAAGTTAGGGTTCTTTAAACGAAGACGACCGGATCCTACTTTGTCTGGTAATCTCGAAAAACATAGAGACGATAATCCAGAAAATGAAGCTTTATTTAAACACTGAAAACTTATTTAAAAAGAAAAAAAAAAACTAAAACAAAAAAAGCACAAAAAAACAAGGAAAACAAAAAATACTTACAACATGGTTTTTAAGAATTTTCACAATACTTAACATTCAGTACTTATGAATAATATATAAAGAACCAATAGCTGACAGCAGCTTTAAAATGACATCAAGGCTGTTTATACATTTTTTACGTACACTATGTGTATATAACAGAAGCAGCTATGTGTATATGCAATTTAAAAAACAAAAGAAATTGTGATAATGACTTTTTATAATAACCCCTTGCACTACAATTAAACGATGAAAAATGATGTAATTTAAAGAAGCATTTCATTTTAATTAGCTACTATATATTATAAACTTTTATAAAGAAAACATATTGTATTTTATGAATTATATATTTTGTACATATTACAAAATGTTGACTGTAACTTTAGTCAAGTGTAGCTCGTTATTGTGCAGTTGATTGTAAAAAAAACTCATGACGAGCTAGACTCGTCATTTTAGCGCAAGTGGGTTAAATATTTACTTCTTTTCTAAAATAGTGCTAGCACTATTCTTAAAAGATATACTTCTATATATTTATATATATAATATACATATATATATATATAGTATATATATGTGTATTTACACATATTTATGTTTATTACATAGTATTTTTTATTTTGATAAAAAATACACATATTACGATAGCTGCTGTTAATGTATCACTTATTAATTTATCTCGGTTAAGTACATTACAAATTTTTTACATATTTTTTATCATCAATAATATGTGTTTTGCAATGGTGCTTTATTAAAATATAAAGCAAAAATTCAACACCATCATTTGGAATGATAGTTTGAACGATAATATTAGGTCTACAGTAAAGACTGCTACAAAATAATAATACTAATTAATTAGCATCCACTTATTTACTTAAATAATATTAAGAAGTTTCCATACGTGTGTATGCATGGGGTAATGAATTTGTGTAAGGATACATTTACAGTATGTAAAATAATTTTTATTAGCCATATCTATCGTCTGATGGAAGAATGGCATAATGTTCTATGAAATATATGAATTATGTTATGCATTGACAGACCAAATGCAAGTTCGTTCATTTTTTATTATGAACCATTTTGTGTTTCATTTATAACTACTATACCAAGAAAAAATACTTGGTCTTTTAATTAATATTAAAAGTTTATTCAAGTGTGTGTGAGATACAAGTAATTGTATTGACTGATATTAGTATGAATATTAATACTAATAGTTAACAATGCGGTACACGTGGTTTTCCAAGAGATGGCAACAATAATTTAATTTTTTTTCTGTTAATGCATAACTTTGTCAATATTTAGAAATGTATTTTAATAATTTTCGTAGATTATTATATACTTTAAATATAACTAAGTTACATATTGCCTTATTTACTATTAGAAATTGACAATTTCGAAGAAAAAAGAAAGATATATTAAGTGAATAGCTTTTGCTAACTTTATACTGCCTTTTATAATGATACTGTACTTTAAATTTAGGATAAATTTGTAATTGGCAGTATCACTATATGTTTAATATGTTATTACTATTATTATTAAAAGTAACTTTATATAAATACACATGATAATAATTAAAAATTAAAAAAAAAAAAAAAAAAAAGAATTCTGTATATTTTCTTAAGATAAACTTGTTTTTTTTTTAATACTAAAGAAATGTTATATAATTTAATATGAAATTATTTCTTGCAATATTTGTGTTAATATGGATTATTTAAAGAGTTTTAAAAAATTGTATGTAAAATATATTTATAAACCATCAAAAAAACGTAAAGAGACTAGAGATAATAAAAGGGAAAATGTAACTTCTATTAAAAATTTGATTATCTTTTTCAAAGTTCGCTAATTATAGGCACGTAAATAAGAGATTAATATGCTTTTAAATGTTCTCAATGGTTTCTTTTTTTTTATTTCTCGCATTATGAATTCCTATTGGTATTATACAGCATACAGATATTTTAACACACGAAGAAATGATACATTTTTATATGTTTAGGTATAAAGTAATTTTTTTACTTTAACATATGGAATAATATTGAGCCTGACTAGACCCAGAGATCACATTTTTCTAGAAATTCACATACTAATATACAATGCTTAATGTCAGAGTTGTTCATCATTTGGTTGTTTATCATCGTCATTGGTTGTGTCTTTATATTATTTATTATGTATGCAAGTAGGATTTTTCTTTCTTTTTCAAAAAGTTTAAAACTGCAAAATAACGTGGTTGATTATTTTAATATTCTTCGTTACAAAAAGAGATTTGTTTCCTTATAAATTGATTTCACACTTGTAGCAGCCAATCATTTTATTTATAGAGTTACTACGTACAAAATTTCCATATTCTAAGTTTCCCTTTGATAATCAAAAAAGTGATGATTTTTATTTAAAACATACTAATTCTTCGATCAAAACTGTAGATGTTATTGTTGTTTTCCATCGGTAATAATGACAAATACTTTTTCTTCATAAACATGTTCTCTTGTTAATTAATACATTTTCAACTTAAAAGATTTTTTGGTAGTTTAGTGTTTCAAAGTTCCTCTCGTGTTTTTTGATTTTCTCATTGATTCCTTCAACAAGATACTTTACGTATGACTAGATTCATGGAAAATCTGTACTTGTACTACACATTCCACAATGATAACAAGATTTCGGTTTTTATTTCTCCTTCATTAAAATTACTTTTATTTTCTATATGCTTTCATACAATACTTTAGAAAGATTTATATAATTTTTCTATTATTTGCAAAAGTGTATGCGTACTTTCCTCAGTCTTATTATTAGTTACAAAAATCACTTTACTGTATGTACTTTCCGTATCATTATTCACTTCTTTTTTTGCTCAGTAATTCCACAATGACATCAATCATCACTATCAATTTTCCTATTACTTTCTTTAATAATAAGAAACATTTTTTGATAATATCCGTACGGCGTACGTGAATTTCCCAATAGCTTTTGTATATACATAAAAGCTCGCCATGCTTGCATGGTAGATATTTTTCTTACAAAACGTATTAAAGCGATGTATAGAAGTACTTGAATCATGTATTATAATTTTTGATAATCTCTCTCTCTAATATATGAACAATTAATAATTCTCTATTTGAACATTACAATAGACTTTTTGTATTTCTTATTTCTCATAACAAATGTAAACAAATAAGAAGTATGAACATTTTAAAAATATGGTAAAGATTCCAGACTATCACAATTTGTTTTTAATTCTAAACATTTAATTTCATTCGTAGCATAAACAGCTAAAATAAGCTTATGTTTATATTACGTTATATCATATAATAATATATTATACATAACCCAATCTCTATTTATTAGGGCAACAGGCTGTAAGTAAATATATATCTCTTTATCTAATTAATAAATTCATAAAACGAGAATTGAAAAATTTGTATAATATTGATAATTATTTTCAAACTTGTCAAAATACAGTGAATGCTCGCACGTATCATTAACATTTACGAATTAAGTATATATTCATACTTATATTATAAAATTAATGGCACTTGAATAAAACAAAATTAATTTTATATGTATTAAGTGTCGTTCTGAAAGTTTCTTGCTTTTTTTTTTTTTATAATAAGTTATATACGCACAATATATATTTTTTTTATTTTTATATTAATTTACTGAATAATATACGATCTATTCTGCTCTATTAATTTATTCTCTATATTGTATATTACTCAGTAAAATAATATGAAATAATAAATATTGTGCACATAAAATTACGGAGAAAAAAAAAAGAAAACTTTAGAGACGACTTAATATATATTTTATCAATATTTCTTAATGATCATTTTGTTAAAAAAAATAATTATAAATATAAGTTACATATGTAATACATATGTTTTAACACATTCCTCAAATGACTTAGATATTTCACAATAATAATGAAAGTAAAACTAGAAAAGAAAGTAATGACGTGGTGAAAGCATCACTGGATTGTATAATACATTAATGTAAAATAAATTGTAAAAGGTCATTATGAATGCGTGAAGACTCCTCGGAAGTATTGCTTCTATAAGTTAAAACTGCCATGTAAAAATCTAATATAATTGCCATGTAAAAATCTAATATAAAACTGCTTATAAACAAATACTAATTCTTGTATTTGCTTACTAATAAAAAAACGAATCTTTAACGATAAAAAAATACTATTCCTGATATTTCGTAATAAACTTTATAGGAAATGTAACAATTTATGTAATAAAACGTTACCGTTTCATAAAAATTGATTTTACTTCATAAACAAACAAAAAAAAAAAGAGAAAAAAACAAAATTTGATAATTCAATAAACTTTAAATCAATTAATATGATGCATATTCAATATTGTTTTGTTGTAAAACGTCTTTAAATACAAACAATCTAAAGTTATAAACCTGTAAAAAGAGTTAAAATAGTTAGAAATTTAAGATTCTTTTGTAGTTATATTGCTTACAGCTAATTTTTTTAATACCTGTATATCAGAATAGTGAGCGGTGCTGTAGATGCATGCCATAAGGAATGAGCGTCGAAAATCCAAAATATTGGTGAAAAATCTAACACTTCTAACAGAGTAAAAAGAACTGCTAAAATATTGAACCAACCGATGAGATAAGCATGAGATAATTCACGTCTAACATTGTACCACCATGACATTGTTATCACAAAAGTTAAGAAACCTATAATTAAAAAATATTATAATTAAATATATATATATAGAATAATTAGAAATGGTTCATCGAGTTTATTCTAGTTGTATTTTACAAAGTATAACTAATAAAATATTGTACAACGTCTAAAAATAAAGAGAAAGAAAAAAAAACCCAGATGGAACTCTGACAGAAACTCTTATAAAATCTTGACGTAACCCGATGAATCATTTTGAATTAAATCCTGTATATATGATTTATTACCAATTACTACATTGAATTTCATGTTGTATCCATAATTAATTGCTCCGGACCACAAATGTGTTAAATGTGTATACAAAATACTGATATAACAACAAGTAAGTATAATAAAAGTTTTAGTATGTTTATACGTTATTCTATAATTAACAAAGAAAAAAAGGGGTCAATTAATCACTCTATATATATAAATATAAAGTTAGAATAATTAGTTATTTGCAAATATAGATTTTACCTTAATAACATACAATATAATAATGTTAATACGATAGCAAATGCAGATGAATAATCCATTACTTCTGTAAAATCTGTATCACGAGCATGGAATATCGTAGACCAAAACCATCCGTTAAAACAAATCTAAAATATTATGATTAACTATTATATATATTAATTATATAAATTTGTTATAGTATTAGGTTGTACTAAAAGTACGAATACTCACAAGACTAAAATAAGTCCAAACATAAAACATCGGATATTTGGAATTAACTTTCTTTTTAAATTTCCAATACGATACCCAATGCGCGTAAAAATTCAATATCGAAAACAAAACAGAAGCTGGTTCTTGGCATCCAAAAATTCGTATAAATGGCCACTATGATCAAATATATAAATATATAGAGCTTCCTTATCTAATTTTTTAGTGTTTTATAAGTAGAAGATATATAATTTTTATTTTTTAATTAATAATCTTTTTACAACTTACTTTTCCATTAAATTGTGGAACCCTTAAACCATGACTTACAAAGTAGTCAACTGTACGCCACATACACATGTATTTACAATCTTCAATACAAGACCACGATAATAATGAAAGAGATAGGGCTGGTGGATTATTAAAAGTTACATCTGTAAAGAAAGAATGTATTAGAAAGATTAATTTATCAGTATTTTATAATACCAGAAAGAAACTTTTCATAAATTAAATGATATAAATCAAATAAATTCTAACCACATAAAAGAATATTTTCAATACTTACTATTTTTACAATGACTATTACGATATTTCATAAGACACTGATTGTAAAATGGTGCTTCGTCTCCTATCGATGCAATTACGTTTATAAAACAACATGTCAAAAGAAATAAACAAATTACCCATACCGACTTTAACATAATGTCAACAATTGTATAACTACACCATAATACGTGTAATATATATACATGTAGAAACTATATTTGATACCTAATAATAAAGAAAAATAAATACTCGATTAAAATACATAAAACTACGTCGAGTAACGATTAAAACCAAAATGAAAAAAAGAACAGCTTGGATAAAGAATCCAATCAGATAAAGTAAAACAATTAAAAGTTATTTAATGACGTATAATTTGGTAATTTCGTTTGAAAATCGTAATATGCTTATTTAAATATTGCCGCGCAAAAATCGATATATCTCGATACGATCACGTTACCACAATCGATAATCGTGTACGTGCGATTCGATTTGCACGTGCTAATATAATTTAAAATTTATCATTTTCGTTACTTTTCATAAATGATTACGAACAATTAATCATGTTTTTAACAAGTTTTTACTTTGTAAATAAAATGATTGGATGAAATCGTATGTTTTATGATGATTGTTTCTTTTATTCATTTCTTGCAACGTTTGTACGAAAGAAAATATTTAAGGAAAATTTGGATGCTTAAAAGGTGGCAACACTTACAAGGAACAAATCTTGATTACTTTGTTCTATGGTTTTCCTGCAATTCTGCGGTATAGAACTTTTTTTTCAAGGTGCGTTTTCCGGTTTTATTTTCCGTCACGCTGCGAACTTGACAGTGTCAAAGATGTAGTATAATTATATTTTAGATGATTGTATGAAATTATGCTACGTTCAACGAAGATCAATTTATTCTGAGCAATGTAAGTTAGCGTTAGTTCTTTTAAATATTCAAATTTATATATTTATTTCAGAGTTCGGTAAAAAATTAAATAAAGATTTTTATCTTTAATTATAAATTGTCCTTTTATTTTTTTTTTTATAAATATGTTAGTTGTAATAAATTTGTACAATTACACATATAAAACAATAATCATAATATTTAATTTTCCTTATAATTGTATCTGATTTAGGTATAAGTACAATAGTATGATTTTATGGATTCATGCTTGTGTTACCTGACGTAATTGACAATGGACTCGGCTTTGACTGCAGTAATAAATCATTTCTATAGTCAATACATATGTTAACAATGCTAGCATCATGGAAACGTCGAACATTCACAAGGGATACATATATTTCTGGAGCACCGTGGAACACAGTGGTAATATAGAGAATATAATATATAATTTATAATTACATTTTTAATATTTGAAATATATTTTATAAAAAAACAAGGAAATAATAATAAATTTGTTCATCTTTACAGGATCTGGAGAATATACCTGATGAATAAAAAGTACAAAACCTATAAGCGAACGCTTATTGAGATTTTAAGATTTTAAACTCAATATTTAAAGTAAGATATAATGCTATCACTTATACTATTTAAACGTATTAACGACTAACCACACATCATCATTTCATACAGTTACACAATATGTATCAATGTACTCTTGAAATGATACATGTATTCCTGGTGCAAAATATCTTCTAACATTTTGTATCTTTTACTCGACGTATGATGTGTACCAAGTATTGTTTGCAAAATTCAATTTGCATTACATCAACATGCAATATTCAATAGATGTTATACACATATTCGTATATTTACGATTATCAATATGAAATCATGTATTATCATCTGCTTAATTTTTACTTCATACACACATATTACCAATATTAAGATATACAAAATATAATCTTTCGAACACATATTTATCAAATTTACTAAACGATTAGATGACAAAATTCATACTATATTAATATCATATTATGGGTCTCTCTTTTGTTCATTTACAAATAATATATACATATTTTAATCTTTAAAATGTCATCATTAATAGACAGTATTAATGGATTATATAGAAATCTGTAGTAACTTAAATACTCATGTGCAATTTTTTAACTATCTTACTTTTGTAATGTTAATATATTAATAATCTTTGCAATATGAAATCATTTGATTTTCATTTAATCCTGATACATATATTTACGTAAGTAGGATAATCAATGCGATTCCTTTATTCCTAAGAAAATCAAATATTTGAAACATCTTGAAATTTACGAATATATTTTAATTCTGACTGAAATTATTATTAAAATATTTAATTATTTTTTCCGCATAATGAGTATACTGTTCATAACGCAAATATTATTGCCATTCCTTCGTGGCGAGTACACTCGTCAATCAGAGCCAACTGGTTAAAGAAAATCATTAGTAGATTGTTTCAGGTATCGTTTAAAATCTTGTTATTCTCTTCTGGTTTTAAGTAAAACAGTATTTATGAGATTTGATCGAGCGAGTGAGCAGTTCGTGAGAGTAACCAGATATCGTAAGGATAGAAGTTTGTCAGCTGCACACGTGCAAGACTATTTTTGAAATTGACGTCATTTGTTGCTATTAAACGAAAAAAGAATGAGCAAACAAGGAGCACGTGTTTGCGTTTGATCATTTTTGCGAGTTGATCAAATTACTTAGAAATTTCTCTTTGAATTTCGTATTCTTTATTATATATCTATGCAAAGATTTACATATTATGTATATAAATAAATAGAATTTAATATACAATTATCAAAAATAAATATTGTTTTCATATCTGTGTGTGATAATTAAATAACGCGTTTAGAGTGAAACGAACGTAATAACATTTTTTGAAACAATATGTTTAGAGAGCATGAAAGGTGGGGGTAAATGAAACGATCGAAAATATTTCCCTGTAATATCCTTCAATTGGTTTGTCAGTTATGCACAAGCATCAGTACGTTTGAACATCTTTTTCGAGTGATTAACAAACAATTTATTGTTATATATTATTATTGATTGGAATCAACTGCATTTATCTGTAAGTATCGTAACGTTATATTGATTTTTACGTTTGATATGATATAATATATAAATAGACAATAAAACAAATGGAAGAGATGGTCATATTATTGAATAAACATTTAATTGCATTAATAATCATGAATTTGAGATTACAATAGGTTATCTTAAATGTTAATTGATCATTGATGATTTATTAATATTTATTTATTTGATATTTATCCGTGTATTAAATGGGTAACAAGGGACCTTACAAATCACATACGTCAAATGAAAGTTATTAGATTCAACACTTCCGTATACGACGAGTTTGCACAAGTCTCGAGTTAATATAGTATCTCGAATAGAGCCTCAAAACTTGATATAGGAGTTGAAGTTAATTCTACTGTTGGGAATCGGTTCAAACTGAGTTTCCGACCATCATTTTCTACTGCACCATCGCGACCTGACATCGCTAATATCAAATTTGTCCGAATACGTGCCGGATATATGTGTATGGGTATATGTTCTATAGGTGTGTGTGTGTGTGTTACATGCTTTTGTCTTATCAAGTTTCATTTATCCTCTTACATAACAATCTTCAAAGGATTTATTTGACGTTGCTACACAATTAACAACAAAACGAATATTACAAATTTAAAATTAATTTTGCGTATTTGTATCTATTACGTGTAACAATTAATTTTTATACACGTTACTATCAAAATCCTCATTTTGTTTGATTTTTTTCGTTAAGAATTTGGATAATTTTTGTTGAACAATGAAGTTTCAAACGAAGTTAACGAAAATAATGGAAACTATTTCGAAGAATAACAGACACGCGTATGATTATTCGTTAAATAAATAAAAGGCATCGTATTAATTTGTTACATCTGGTTAACAAAGATATTGTTTGTTGTTTCTTCGATTGTTATTTGTTTTTTACCTTTTTCTACAGGTAATTTCTGGTCATGCGGGATTTCCTTTATATAGCGCGCACTTAATTGAACGTACATATTTCAATATATTATTCTACGCGAACAATATATGCATTTACTTCCTTTTTTTATTTTCGCTCATTAAACGTCTAACAAAGTATTTATCAATACGAACGAATGGGGGATGGGGTGGGGTGGGGTGGCGGGGGAGGAAAGCATTTCTTTCTTATAGTTTCGATAAAATGATCATCGATGAATATATAACGAATATCCTTTTAAAATATACGTGTACGTATATCTTTTTGATTATTTTCATTGTTTTAACTTGTTTTTCTTTTCAACCTTACCATACGCTTCATTCCAACCCCCCCGTCCCTCCCCCCTCCTCCGACTTACGAATGAATTTATTTTCTTTTTTTTTAATTTTTATTTTCTGTTTTTAAATATCGCGACAAATAGTTTTTCTTGATAAAGGATAAAGAGTAAAAGATAGACAGAGATAGATATAGATATGTTGGAGCATTATCAAAGGGGGTAGGCTTCGAATATAAAAAGTGATAGAGGTAAAAAAATGTTCTTTTACGTATTCGACGTCTTTTCTTTTCAAAGTCTTTTATATTTTTGATCCTTAGAACTCTCGGTGATGAATTTGGTCCGTGGTTCTATGTAAATGTGCAATAGAAAAACATCTCGTGAATTGTATATCGAATGTGTAAATATATATATATATATATGTATGTGTGCGAGCATATATGTATATAGTAAATATAGACATGCATATTTCCAAGCGTTCTTACACAATACGATTGAATGCACTCTTCGTTTGCATATTCCCCCCGCCCCCAAAGCATGCATATATACGTATACATATATGTATATGCAATAAATATATTTTTTGTATCACAGGTTCAATTAACCCCGTGTAAATGTTGACAATGAGCGTAATAATAATAATAAATAATAATAATAATAATAATAATAATAGAAAAAATAAAATTAAACGAAACGTTTGCATCGAGAATACATGATTATATTATCCGTATTGTCCGTGTTACGCGATTACTTGTAAACAATACATGGGAAATAATTAACGCGTTCGATGAATATGGTAATATGTACGGGAAAAGAAAAAGAAAAAACTAAATTTATCAAATGTAAACTAATTGTATAATTTTTTCTTTTTAATAAACAATTGCTTTGGTAAATTCGTTTATCTGTATAAACAATGAATCTTAAGTAATATACATATAACATATTCTGTAAATATGTATAAATCGTTCACAAAAATTATATTACTTTTTCGTCAAATTTTCTATATTACACGTGATTTTACTATAATGATAATAATTAAAAAACATAATAAAGTATAGGAATAGATCGTGTATTATTCGGTGTATAAGAATATTATAATAATAAAAAAAAAAATAAAATAATATCTCGATTCATGTAGACACATTTGATAAGAAAAACTTTTAGGACGATCTAATATATAATATAGTTACATTAAACGTCAAAATACGCGTAATAGGATGTTAACCTTCAAGAAGAAGTTCTTCGAGTAGAATTTTTGAAATCGTGTTATAGTCTTAAGTTGTGGAAGGATACAGCTTGGTAATATGCCTCCTAGCGACGTTCTAGTTTTCAAGACCTCGTTCTTCTTTTTCTTCTTCTTCTTCTTCTTCGTACTTATTCCAACACGTTTCTGTTTCTTTCAATTTCTTTCATCGAGCCTGAGTTACCCTCCCCCGGCCCGTCCCCTGCCCCCCATCGGAGCCGGATGTGTATCACCGTTGATCAATGAAAAATTCTAATAGAATAAACGCAGGTATTACCTTGACTGGACCCGAAACGTTTAAAAAGAATAAGTTTCCAGGTGCTCCCCACCCTCCCCCACACCCCCCTCGTAGAGGAAATCTTTTGTTTTCGCGCCATTATCATTTTCAACCCCTCGGAAGTATACGATCAAGCCCCCAAGCAGAGAGATGCAGATAGCAGCTTACAATGGTGCGAGGAAAGGTAAAGGTAGTAGTAGGACCTTTGAACCACGAGTATGAAAAAACCACTACTGTGGAATGTGTATTTTCTTATATTTTTTTTTGTTCCTTCTTCTCTCCTTTTTTTTTCCATTTTTCTTCCACTCTCTCTTCTCTCCTTTTTTTACTTTTTCTTTTTTCTTTTTTTCTACCCCTAACAGAGAAGAACGTTCAACGCCGAACCGTTAATAACAATAGGGGAATGTATAATCCGAATAAATCTTGGATAACGAAAGAATTCCGTTTATTTTCTGACCAAAAAAAAATAAAAATACTCTTGCGAGTAATAGGATTTCAATTTTTCCTCTCTCTCTCTCTCTTTCTTTCTTTCTTTTTTTTACGTACGTATATGTTTACAATTATTCGTATACGTATATGCACGCATGTGTGTGTAGGTTTGCGTGTAACAATGTTATAATGTTTTATTTTCTTACTTTTTGTTTCTTTTTTTTTTTAATTTCATTTCCTTCATTTCGTATCAAATTAGAATGGGAATTCGATCAAGGTTTGTTTCGAGAACCAATGAGAGAACCGTATAAATTGAATTGATTCTATACGCTTTTCGTAAACGTTGTAACATTAATAACCACGAAACCAAGCCGATTTTTTCTTTAATATTTTTTTTATTTTCTTACCCTCCCTTTTTCTCTCTTCATAAAAATGCATCATTGAGTTCTCTTTTCGCGTTTAGTTAAAACTCTTGGTTTCTCTCCCTTAAATGTCATTTTTCCGGATGATATCGGTACTCGGATTCGTGGGATTTCCGCAATGTGCTGCGCACCACTAAACGCGATGCCGATGTAATTAAATAATAATTAAGGCAGCGTGTGGCGCAGTGAGAATATTTAAACCATTAAGGGGAAGGGAGATCATTTTCCCCCCTTTTTTTTTTCCTTCTTTCTTTCTTTCTTTCTTTCTTCTTCTTTCTTTTTATTTTTCTTTTTCTTCCTTTTTTTTCCCCCCACCCCACCCCAGCCCCCTCCGTTGCTTTAATGTACGATCTCTTAGGATGAGAGAAAAAGAGAGAGAGAGAGAGAGAGAGAGAGAGAGAGAGAGAATTATCGATCCACACATTTGGCCCTCTGTACGTTGTACCTGAGCTCTCTTTTCTCTTCAACTTCCTGCGAATCCACAAAGTTCTTTACTTTGAAAAATGTGTATCGACCGAAACTATCATA